TGATGATGATGAAGGTGGAGCCAGCAGGCTTCTCTGTGGAGCACAAAACAATCAAAGAGTCTCAAGCTGAACAGATGAAGCAGGTCAGAAGAGAAGAAGATCCACTTATCCAGCAGACCTGAACACACACACCATGTGACGTCATTTCTTTAGGCCGTCTGCACATGATGACTGAGACACATATTCAACCTCCTTCCTGAACTTTGCTCTGTCTGATTCACTGATGGATACATGTATTAATACACGTGTTTAATCATTCTGTCTACTCATCTTTAAGTGACCAGTAGTTGTGTGAATGCAGATTCTACAACGTCTGAATTGTGGTGACACGTTACAATAGTTCAGCACGGACTCAAATAAAGCTCTTACCTGGAATGAGTTTACAAAAGGATGAATAAACTTATTTACAGAGAAATGAACCAAATATTGACACATTTATATATTAATCTAGACCAGTAAACAGTGTTCATAACTCTCGCTGTGTTTAATTCTGATCCGAGTCTTAAAATGACTACAAATAAAAACTAGACTAGAAATGTAAGAAAACAAAACTTCCCAAATCTAAAACACACAAAGTGAACAAAGTGGATGTTTGCTTCCCTCCTTCACCGCTCCGGGTCTCAGACCTACCCGTGTTGGTCCTGGTCTTGTCCAGTTTGGTGACGATGTCCTCGTCCACACCAGACAGCTGGAACACACAGTCGTACCTCCTCCAGTCTTCAGCAGGGACGGAGGACAGGTTCAGGTCAACCCTCATCTGGAAGGTCCCGTCATGGTTGGGGAGGATCTCTCCGAGGTCCACGTCCTCATGGAGCTCCTCTCCATCTTTCCTCCAGAAGAGGGCGGCTCTGTCGGGGTAGAAACCTGTAGCGTGGCAGCTGACTGGAGAGGAGGGAGTCTTCTGGAGGAGAGACACCGAGGGACGCTCTGGAGACAGAAGAGAGGGACAGGTTACATCTTTATTATTATCACTGATATTTAGAGTATTAATATCATTCATCTTTGATGTATTTAAAATGCCTCTTTAACACTCAACTATGTGTATTTAAGTTTACTAAAAGAATGAAATGTCTTTAAAGTTTCATTGATTAAAGAAGGGAGACAAACAGGTGAAGAGGGGTGAGACGGATTGGAAGGGGAGGAGGACAGTGTGTGTGAGAGAGTAAAGAGACAGTGAGACAGACAGAAACACAGCAGAGACAAAGAGGATGGAGGGACAGAGTGGGGACAGGTGTGAGGGGGGGAGTGAGGGAGGGAGTGCAGTGAAGGAGAGAAGGAGGTGAGGGGGGAGAAATGTGGGAGACACAGTGGGTCTCTGTGTGTCTCTGACATGTTGCTATGAAACAACAGAAGGTTTATGAGCATCGTGTCCATGGAAGGACATCAGGTCATGTGATCCTACCGGTTCTCAACAGAGATGTCCTGCTGTAGTTTAAGAACGTCTTCAGCCCCTCAGCACACTCATCAGTCAGGAAGTTCTTCCAGTATTCTATCTTATCTCTGTCCTGATTCCACTTCTGTTGGATGATGACAGCCTGCTGTTTTGCAGCGATCCATCGCTTTGTCTGCAGGTCAAATGATATGAAGTCTTCTCCATCATAACCATCCTGAATATAACGCTGGACCTCATCGGTCTCATTATCCCATTCACAGCCGGCCATCCTCTGGTAAATGTGGACACCTGAGAGAGAGAGAGAGAGAGAGAGAGAAACATATTTGCTTGATAAAAGACTTCAGTCATCATCTGATTATCAATAGAGATGCTCCGATCTGATCGGCGCCGATCCATATCGGCCGATATTGCCATTATCGGTTTCGATCAGCGTTCTCAAAACGGCCGATCAAATTTGGTCGATCAGATTTTTTTTTTGAAAAGAAAATCCTGCTTGGATCCACGCTATACGCTGCCGGGCCGAAAATACCCAACTGATGCTTGTCTGCCGGAATTATACCGAAATGTCTACACGCACATCGAGAGCCTCATGAAGGACAACATCAGGGCAGTTAGCTTCACGAGTGACATTTGAAGTTAGAGTGTGTGTCCCGTGTCTATGCTGAGCCTAACTGCGCAGTTTATTACGCAGCACAAGTCTTCCTCTCCGCACCTTGTACAGGTGTAGATAGCGAGTGACTTTTCAGCACAGCAGGACATATTTTAGATGAGAAGATGAACAGGTTGACTCCTAAAAATGCTGAGATGCTTATATTTATCAAGGCAAATCTGCCAGTGATGCTGCTTAATCAGAAGTAAGGTTTGAATACTCTAGTGTGCCCCCTCTCCGAGTGAGTGAGTGAGACACTATACAGATAGATATACATGTTTGGTTTAATTGCTGACTTCCTGTGCACCTTTAATCTTTATTCTGTCTGTTATCTCCTCCTATAAGCTCCAAGTTCTATTGAGAGCCTCTAGAGAGTGGAATGTTGCACATGTTATTCTATTTATTTAGATTTATATTTTTATTATTGTTTTAATATTTATTATTATTTACACATTTTATAGTAAGCGAGAGAGCTTTTCTACATTGGAATGCTGCACGTTCCCTGCAATAAAACGGATGCTTGTCAATTCATGATACTCTCTCGTCTCGTAATTTAAATACTTAAAATACAGAACCAATGTTGTTAAGAATAATTCATTTCATAAATAATGCTACACAATAAATAGAATGCTTAAATCGACACCGTGATCGGTGATCTGTATTATCGGATCGGCAGATACCGATTTCAGTGATCGGTGATCGACACCAAAAAACCTGATCGGAGCATCTCTAATTATCAACATTCATGTTGATTCATTTTCTGTTCATCAACTAATTGATTCAATGTTTCAACACTAAATATCCTGAATGTTTGTTCTAAACTCACTGCAGTCCACTTTAGTTCATTAACTCTCATCTGTATCATACTCCAGATTTTGGGCTCAAACTAATTATTCTTGTCTTTGCAGATGATGTAATAACTATTTCTAATGAATCCATGAATTGTTCACACTGTAAAATGTCAGAGAGGCTGATGAAACTTTGGAAGTGCTTCTTCAGTGTGAACAACACTGAGCAGTATTTCATTCATCACCATTTCAAACAGACAAGAGGAAGAAGTCGTCTCAGTGAGGAACCTCAACTAGAACATGTTGGACGTCATCTGATAAAACCTGGAATGAAATACTGAAGCATCGACTCCCTGAGCTCAAGTAAAGCTCATCTAATCTAAGCTGGAGTTCTAATCAGGATGAGAGGAAATCTTCTTCCTCCTGAACAACACGGAAAAGTATTCGTTGTGTTTATATACTTATATTTAGGAACTGGAAGCAGAAAATGTTTCAGTCAAGAAAAGATCTCAGACTGTTTAATCTGTGTGTGTGTGTGTGTGTGTGTGTTTATGTACTAATAACATAAAGGATGCAAATACAAACAAAAAGTGTGAAACATAAACAAACCTCCAGTTTGGTTGAAGCGTTGTTTTGCTGTTTCAATGTTGCCTTTGAAGTCCTGCTGGGTGTACATAGCGAGCTCAGTCCGACTCTTCCAGTACTGAGGATCATCCTCTTTGAGTCTGCTCATCCAGTCCTGTCTGGGTTCTGCTCTCGTTGTGTTACCGTCATAGTGAACAACCTCAACTTCATCCAGCAGCCCAACAACCACAAACTCTGGGAAGTTTGGGACTCCAGAGGACGCAGTGAGGAAATACTTCATAGAGTGAGTCACTGGAACCAAAAAGGAATCATCATCAGTTCTGATGTCACACTTTAATTAATCAATAATTATGTTGTTTTCCTGCAAACTGAATTAAAAAGAAACACAGAACATCAAAGACACCCTGATAACATCTGCTGTGTTTAACAACTCAATAAATACAGAAAATGTTTACTTTGATATTTATGATAATTCAGCTTTTAAAAACATTATATTCTTAAATGAAATATCAAATAAGTCACATATTCAGATCATCATTTTGTGTTTCTGACTTTCACGCATAGAAATCAGTTTGTAAAACCAGATTTCTTATTATTTTTGAACTTTGAGTTTCTTGAAGTGAAGTGGAAGCACAAACGAGTTCAAAGGTCATTGATTTGATCTTTTAATTGCTGTTTACAGGTTTTATATTCAAATAACAATTTATTCATTCTGTTCTCTTTTTTTGATTCAACCGTCAAGAAACAACAAACTAATCGGATCAGCTTCTCGTGTATCTCTATATTTATGTAACTGTAAAATATCTTCATGAAAACCTAAAGTATGAACAGATGGACACAGATTTATATTTAAGAAACGTCTCCTCAGTGATTTCTGACTGACTCTGACATCCCTTATTTCACTGGTCACTCCCTTCACACAATTTTCTTTTTTTATTCTATATCCGAAGAGCCTATAGCCTTCAACTTTATACTGCCGAGTTGAATTGTAAATTTGTAAACTAAACATGCCATGTTATTTGTCTTGTTGTCCATTGACTCATTGTCTAACTGTCCATTGTTATGCACCAAACGCCGTGTCAAATTCCTTGTATGTCTTAACATATTTTGGCAATAAATGTTCCTGATCTATCGGTATCAGATGGATAGAATCCAAGAAGATTAGAATATTATTAAAAGTATCAGCACAGTAAAATGTCTGCAGGTGTTTGAGAGTTTTTGTCCTGTGTCTGAATTCATGGAATTCATATTTATGAGGCTTTTTTTCAGCACTGCTCACTAAAACATTTTGCAAATCTGGTCTACAATAAATCTATTTCGTCTGACATATTATGGCAATAAATGTTTCCTGATTCCTGATATGAACTTCATAATGATGTTCAGCAGGTCCTCATGAATGATGTGTGTTTACTGAGTGCATATGATTGTGCATATGATTCTCTAAATCAAGATTTAGTTACAGATTACACTTCCCACTTCACGAATTTGTTGTTTCAAAGGAAAAGTCTAGAAGGTTCACAGCAGCCTGAACAGATGAAATGTAGTGACTGACTGTTTGAATATGAATGTTTATGAAAATAACTCGTACCACATTGACATGATTTCATCGTACGTATAAATCTTTTACTAGAAAAATAAACTAATGCAAGACAAAAAGGGTGCACAGGCAAAGGCGGAATCCACACGCTCTTGAAGAAACAAAAAAAGGAAGAGAGCCTGGCAACGAAGTAAAAACAAGTTTACCAAAAACAGCACTGGGGACTTCTAACTACAAACATACACCTCTAGGAAACACAAAAGATAACCTGACACAGACAAGTGGGGAACTGAGGCTTAAATACAGGTGGAGGTGATTGCAAACTAAACTCAGCTGTGGGGAGAAACAAAGGGTGAGAAACTAGATACAGGAAGTGCCGTGGTTACAAAAATAAAAACAGGAAGTTAATCTTCACAGTCTCTTCGAGTCGTCACAAGATGCATACAAAGATATGCCAACTACACGAGTAATTGTGGAAGGGAAAGAATTGGCGTTTTTAGTAGACTCCGGAGCTACTCATTCAGTAATTCAAGAAAAACCTTTTCCAAATCAAAAAATGAGTGGGCGGTATGTATATTCTCAAGGGGCTTCAGGTTTGACTGTGACAGGAAAATTTACTGCACCTATGACGACAGTACACTCTGACGAGACTGACCTAAACCCTGACATAAAAGTAAAACATTCTTTTTTACTCTCTTCACTCTGTCCCATAAATCTGATGGGCAGAGACTTGATGTGTACATGTGGTATTTGTTTGACGTCATCTCCAGACGGCCTTAAAGTGGTTCGGCGTAGATCCGCACTCCAAATGGTGCAAAAGGCTCCCTCTAATCCTCTTTTTGTGTATCAGTGGTGGATCCCGATCGATGATGCTCGGAGGCTGAGCCAGGCTGGTGAAGCACGGGTTTCTCCTCATGCAGACAAAGAACTGTTTCAAGTTCCCGGCTCCCAGTGTCTCACTGTCTAAAGGACGCCTTGACCAATGGAGGGATTTGGGACCATTTGTGGCTCAGTGTGAATCTCTCACTGACTGGGAGGAGACAATCGATCCGCTCGTTCTGCGCTCCGCCTCTACAGGGTTTCACAGAACTCACTGTGTACACGGTGGCGTATTTCTCCGCTAAACTCGACCCTGTCGCTGCAGGACTGCCACAATGTTAGCGCGCTGTGGCCGCGCCTGAAGAGGCGCTCACTGCCTCACGTGACATAGTGGGTTACGCACCACTCACTCTGCTCGTTCCGCACGCGGTTTCTTTGATTCTCCTCGAACAGAAATCATCTCACCTCTCTGCGGCTCGCTATTTGCGTTACCACACGTGTCTCCTGGACATGCCGAATGTCACTATAAACGTTGTACTAACCTAAACCCTGCATCATTACTTCCTATTCCTGGGGATGGGGAGGACCACAACTGTTTGGCTGAGCTCCAAGCTCAGTGCACTCCTCGCCCTGACCTAGTGGACACTCCATTGCCTAACAGCGACATGGTAATGTATGTGGATGGATCCGCCTCCCGCGATCCTCAGTCTGGTGAAAATCGTGTTGGTTTTGCTGTTGTTTCTGACTCAGGTGTGCTGTGTTCAGGTCCTCTGCCATGTCACCTCTCAGCCCAGGCAGCCGAGCTCATCGCTCTGACCGAGGCCTGTAAACTGGCTACGGGTAAAACAGTCACAGTTCACACTGACTCTCGCTATGCGTTTGGTGTAGTACATGATTTTGGGGTGCTGTGGAAACACAGGAACTTCTTTAAATCGGACGGTTAGCCCATCCTACATCACACTCTCATTGCTGAGCTGTTGGAATCCATCTTGCTACCCACAGCTATTGCTGTCTGTAAATGTGCTGCCCACACATCCGATACGGATGATGTATATGTGATGCTCGAGCAGACTCGGCTGCAAAAGCTGCTGCTCTGCTTTCGCTTCCCACTACCTGTGCTCTCGTGTGCTCTGAGGAGTCAGTTCCTCTTCTCTTACAGCGATGCAGTCACGCTCTGAAAGACGGCTTTGGTCCACATCTGGCTGTGTTTACACCAACGGTATCTGGACTGGACCCGACGGCAAGCTGTGTTTACCTAAACACTATTTTGCTCATTATGCTAAATTGACTCATGGATTAGACCATGTGTCAAAAGGGGGAATGTTACGTGCACTTAAATAGACGTGGTTTACAAAAGGGTTCACAGCATATGCACAAAAATTCTGTTCTGCATGTGTCACCTGTTCTACTCACAATGTAGGCAGGCCCGTGGGCGTGTCCAGCCAGGCTGCACACCCACCACCAACCCGCCCATTTGAGCACATTATGATGGATTTTGTGGAGTTGTCTCCATCACAAGGTAAGAAACACTGTCAAGTGATGATAGACATGTTTTCCAAGTGGGTGGAGGTTTTTCCATCGAGCAAACAAACAAACCGCTGCAACAGTAGCCAAGGCCCTGATTTCTGAAATCATCCCTCGATGGGGCATTCCTTCTAAAATATCAAGTGACAATGGTTCTCATTTTGTCAACCAGGCCATTACAGAATTAAGCGCATACGTGGGTATTGATTTAAAAACACACTGCGCATACCATCCAGCCAGTGGAGGGGCTGTGGAACGAGAAAATGGCACACTCAAAACCAAATTGGCAAAATGCTGTGCAGACACAGGTCTGCCCCGGACAAAAGCCCTGCCTCTAGTGTTGATGTACATGTGCATGAGAAAACGGACACGAAGCAACCTGAGTCCCTTTGAGATATTGTTTGGTTTTCCTCCTCATGTAGGAACCGAGGCACCGAAGGCACCACTCCCTTCAACTGCATTATGCGAACATGAAATGTTAAAATATTGTGCACAACTCTTCTGCTCTGTCTAACATACGACAACAGGTTGCAGCCGCCCTCCCAAAACCAGCTGAAGGACCGCTCCACAAACTGAAACCTGGTGACTTTGTGGCGGTGAAAGACTTCAGGAGAAAAAAAAACTGAAAAGCACGACGCTGGCAGGGACCATTCCAGATCCTCCTTGTCACCCAAACAGCTGTCAAAGTAGCTGAGAGGGCAACTTGGGTCCACGCGTCCCATTGCAAGAAGGTTCCAGATCTAGTACCATCAGTGGGCTCAGGCGACCCTACCCCCACAACAAGTGTCAATCAACCGACACCACCGATTCAGTGACCACGGACGGGTTCACAACGGGCAGTTGACCGACAGACACACAGTGCATTGTGATCTGTGTTGACTGTCTACAACGCGGATGCCTCACAAGAAAGAAGGTTGGCAGACTCCACATCCCAACGTGTACCTGCGGACCAACACAAGAAGAAGAACACGGCCAGGACCCCTCCACATAGACACAGTAGTCGTTTGTGTCACTACGGTTTTATTCATATTATTGCTTGCTTCAGTTTCATTATCTAAGTATCTTTTTGTGATTTTGTAATCAGCTATCTAAAGAGTGGTTTACACTTGCTTGCTAAACACGAGACGTGGTCTCACAAAAACATATTTTTTTTGCAATATTATGTGTGATTAAAGAATAATCAAAAGAGTGAAATGTAATGGTAAAAATATGTTATAACATTGTTTTGTGCTAAAGCCGTGTCTCAAGTGTCCTGTATTTGACCCTGATGTGCAAAGAGCAGCATGATACAAAATGTTAGTTTGCATAAGATTACGTGCTAATACAAATAGATGTGGGTACATGTTTGTGTTTCACCCAATATTTTAGTGGGTCTTCACTCCGTGGAATGTTTGGTTCAGCCAAATATCTGGTGGTTTCCACAATAAAAATTAACATCCATAATTACACAATACAAATGACAGACTTTGCCTGCCTGTTGCCAACCGTGTTAGAGGAAATCAAATTGAAGTGCTCCCACATCTCGGAGCGACCTCTCTTTGCCACAGCTTCCATTGTAAATTTGCGCTTTGCTACTACTGCTGTTGACGAACTGACCGAAGAGCCGGTTAAATAACCCGATTCGTGTACCTGAAGCGGGAGAATCGGGTGCCAAACGTCAATGAACCGACTCACTCCGGCTTTCAACCACTCATTCGTGCCCGCGCTTCAGCGAGCTCGAGCGCGCGATCGGTGGTCTTCTTCTGTGAGTCGCGGGCTGATCCAGCTCACCAGCGCCTCCACTGGAGCGGTGGTACAATCAATCAGGAAGTGGGCCGCCTTGATCGCGCACGACCGAACCGTAAGAGACTCCTGTACAGTTGGTGGCGGTGTACTACAGAGATAGTCGTCTACCAAGGAACAAAAGAAGAAGAAAAGAACCGTGACAACCGAGTTGTTGAAGCGTTGTGGAAGCGCGGCTCAATTACTGAATGCTGTACTACTAACGTGGAAGCCAATCCCATGAGCCATTGTATGTATAAGTGCATCGAATAAAACGCTGTGATATAATCTTGCTATTTAATGTTTGTGTTTACAAAACACCACTTTGCAGTAGGCTATTTTGTGCATGACAACTGTTTATAACGCAGTGCACCGTATTTAAGTCATGAGGTGACCGGTCCTGCACTTTAACTGAGAAGTTAACGAACAAATTAACGGCAAGTTAGGTAGGCTGGTTAGGTCTACCAATTCACAACGCCCATTAGGTTAGGCAGGGAATATTTCTATCATAGGTTAGACATCGTGTGTAGCCTACTCGTTAACAAATGCGGTGCACGCTATGTAAATGACCGGAAGAGACCGTGGAGACCGAGACCGCGTCAACCGAGGAGACCGCACACCGAGCTGCTGAACGAGACCGGATGTAACCGTGCACCGTCGAATCTGCAACCGAGCGGTGTCTCGGCAAGTTTGCGCTGTCAATCATTGAGCCTTTATTTTTCATGTATGTGTAAATAATGTATGCATAGGCTACATCAGCCGACATCACATACAAATACACGTCATCTTGGTAGTTATGTTGAGTAGGCTAAAATGTTTGTTACGGGCGGTCATGAGACCGCACCAGCTACTGAAGGAGAACGTAACCGCAGGCTGCTGCATGACTCTGTAATCACACGGTCTCTGCCTGTTTGTGAACCACCAATTAGACGTATGGGAGCGACTATGGCGGGGGAAGTAAACGCGCGATAGGCGCGCCCAGCCCCCCCGTCGCGAACCGGTGACCGAATCTATTAACTCGACCTACGACCGTCCGGTTGAACCGACTCGCATAATAGAGCCGGTTGTCCCATCACTAACTACAACAACACTGACTTTGACTGTAACAAACCGACAAGCCCGAACCCTGTTTCCAGCCCATTTGAATCAAATCGAAGCGGTCACGTGACTGTGCGCCGAAACGAAGCTTCGGACGTGACTGATCACGTGATCAGCAGCGATCGAACCGAGCACCGATACATTTGCTTCGCCTTGCACTCATATTTCGACACTAGTGATGGCAAGTTCGGATCATTTTACCGACTCGGTTCTTTGAATCTCGTTCAGTAAAATGAACAAATCTTTTTTTGATTCATTTCGGGGGGGGTAAGATAAATTTCTGCATTAAAATAATGTATCATGACTAGGGGTGGGAATCTCTTGGCACCTCACGATTCGATTCCAATTCAGAGGTCAACGATTCGATTCTAAATTGATTATCGATTCTAAAGCGATTATCGATTCTAAACTGATAAAACAATTAGCGATGCATCTCGATTTTCTAAATTTTCTGAGTTTTGCTACTCAGAGGTTGCTAATCACTTCCTACTTTATTTGATAATTAGATTAAATCAACAGATGAATTACCTTCTCTAATTCTTTATAAGAGAAAAAAAATCTTTGTCACAAATATGATTTTCTATCAACAATGCAAGAACCAACGCAGCTTGCATTTCAACGCAATATGGAAGTAGCCTATGTAAAAAACATATTAAACAGATTCTTTTTTCTTTTAAATGAAGGAAAAGCTGCTCTTAGTCTCAGACCGGCCCGTATTTGTAAAATACCGGAAAAAAGTCAAAGTCTGTGAATATCTTGACAACTTTCAATACGGATCGACTTTTTGGAAACTCGAAATAATGAGGTAAGATATGTGCAGGCTCCTCCATAGTTCGGTAAAGTTATTAGATATTCAGATTCAGACTGACGGAGCGGTCTGCGAGCTGGACGCATTGCTCTTAATGTGCCGGTAATGATGGTAAATGATGGTTGTAGCCAGTGCTGTAAATTAGAGGTGGGTAAACTCTGAATTTTGTGATCATACAGACCTCGACGCGATGCGAAGCAACGCAACACAAAGTGTCGCGACTCTTGTAAGGCTGTCCTGGCTATATTGCATTATGTTATCAGTAAAAGTCATATACAATCAATGACAATGAATAAATGTGTATGAACAACATAAGTTAAAGGAACACTCATGTACTACCTATGTCATCATAAATAGCCTATACAGCATGTTTTTTTCACATTGAGAACTGACTTGTT